AAAAGTGATAGCCAAAGTTGGATGTTCAACACCGTGCCTTCTATATTCCATAGATAATGTAAATAAATTTAGCCTTTGCTCAAAAGAGCTACAATCACTTATTACACAAAATTGCTCAACTGCGATCACACACCACAGAGTTCACAAGACACAATCCAAATTTAACAAAACTCCAACACAAACTAATAGACACCAACACAAGATAAATAAACCACAATTATTGGAGCCTATATTCCAATGGAGGCAGTAAGATATTATAGAACCTATTGTCATGTTTTTGTAAAAAAAAAAGAATTTCCATGTAGTGGTTGTACTACAAAGTTGGAAAGAAAAGGAAAATGTATTGAAAAAACAAAGAGAAATGACTTCATGGGCCATCAGCCTGCCTCCATTCTTTGCCAATCAGACTCTCTCCTTTTCCCCATTTTCCAGCTAGCTAGTGTTTTTAATTGTCTGTGACTGTGAGGGAAGTATTAGTGGTTTCCTAATTTTGATTTGAGAGAACTTAATGGCGTTAAGTCTCAACATTTCACTGTGCTATGCAAGTACTTGTACTATGATCTTACCCAAAATTATGTCGTGTTATCTGCATGCACAATCGGCGAAAGAAAGATTCAGTGCTTCGTCAGTTACCAGTTAGTACCAATTTTATGTTCTTCAGAGAACCAAATTAAGTGGCTTGTGAGCTAGCTGTCTATATATCAGGATGGTTAAGCACCACAAGGCAAAATGAGTAACAGCATATATATTTAGATGAAAGTAGTTGAAGCACTACAGATGTATATGATACAGAGAACAAGTGTTCTTAAGTTCCTGATCTTCATCTCAATGCAGCTAATCTGATTAACTGACATTCCCTTAATACAGTACTGCCTCCGACATAAGCATTATCAGCAGGAGAAGTCGTCGCCAAGTGTTGGCATCAGTCGAGCCGTGACAGCACGCACCAATCTCCCAATGCTTCCCAAACCAACATCCAGCATGAGTCCAAAAAATATAAGAGAACCGGATGTTTGGTTTGTGAGAATGGAGAAATTAAAACCTAGAACAAAAGAAGTAAACTGTGAGATACACATCTGTTCTATGTATATATATCTCTCGCTGCCTTTATGATCATAAACAAACAAAAAAGATTCATTCTAGCAAATTAACACATAAAACTATTGGACCATGGACCGCTTGTACTTGGCTGACTCTACATCTCTACTCTGCATACTGGAGTGTGACATGAAAAAATCAGGACAAGGCATAATTAACCTTGTTGACTGAAAGTCTGAATCATGTCTAGTGTGAGAGCCGTGTGTGAAATAGTCCTCTGAAAATAGTTGCATTAAATTGCAGGATGTAGCACTCCTTCTCTATGCAGACAATAGATGTTCTGAAGCTTAATTATCATCATTACATTGTAGAATCAGGATGTTAAGGGAGAGATCAAGACAGTCCTTGGTGAAGATCTCGTAAATGACGGGCGATTTCTGCCCGCAGTGAGCTATAAACAAACATGAATACCAACTCTATGGAACAAATTAAGAGTTTTTGGTTCTCTCAACTGGCATCGTTTAATTCCATTGTACTGATCAGCTACACTTAACAGAAAAAATATAGAGGCCTGTTTAGATGGGACTAAAACTTTTAAGTCCCTATCACATCGGATGTTTGAAAATTAATTATAAATATTAAACGTAGACTATTAATAAAACTCATCCATGATCTTGGACTAATTTGCGAGACGAATCTAATGAGCCTAATTAATCCATGATTAGCCTATGTGATGCTACAGTAAACATTCTCTAATTATAGATTAATTAGGCTTAAAAAATTTGTCTCGTGAATTAGCTTTTATTTATGTAATTAGTTTTGTAAGTAGTCTATATTTAATACTCTAAATTAGTGTCTAAAGACAGGGACTAAAGTTAAGTCCCTGGATGTAAACACCACCTGAATTGGTTGCTTGAGGCACGGCATAGCGTGGCTCTGACTGTGAATGGCCGTCTTTGCATCAAGCTGCAGGTGGCATCACTAGGCAAGGAAGCCATCGAGAACACCTGCAGGCAAGGAAATCCAGATTACTCTTTGATCTCTCTAGCTCAGATGCAGTGGTTTCCTGAAACCTCCAAAGCCTATTGCTTGAGACAGATAGGTAATAGAAAGGACATTCAGGAAATATTCTTCATGTATTCTCTGTAGTTTGCACACCAGAGTCTATGACTACAAGTCTGCAAACTCTTAGGGCAACGATGAATTTGTGGACGAAGTTATGTTTTAGCTAGCAGTGTTTCAATGGCATCCAAGCAAGGGTGGAACTAGAGTATATGAGAGGGGTGCCTAGGAAGTAGGAACCCGATTAAGAAATTTTTTAACTATACATTACTTATTTTCACTATATGTGTACCCTTTTAAATAAAAACTTAGAGAACCGCATCAGTTAAACTCGATTTAAAATATAGTAAATTAAGCGAGTGGCACGCCCTCCATTTCATTCCAGCTATGCCCTGCATCCACGTGCTAAAGGTATATATGAACCTATTTATTGTCATGTGTGTAATGTATCAGTAGCAACCTATGTCTTTCATAAGACATGCTGGATGCTAAATACCTTGATTATTATTTGTTAAGATGCAAGGAGCCTCTAGCTGAGTTGGTTAGGTGGCTATAGTAGCACTTCTCAGGTTCTGTGTTTAATTCCCCCTTGGAACAAAATTTAGGTTGTGGTTAAAAAAATCTCCTCGTTTGTCCCACACCGTCGTTGGGACATGGACTACCGTAAGGATCGTTGGGACATGGACTACCGTAAGGCGGGGGCTGTGGTTAAAAAAATCTCCTCGTTTGTCCCACGCCGTCGTTGGGACATGGACTACTGTAAGGCTCGTTGGGACATGGACTACCGTAAGGGGGGGCTGTCTTACCCCCACAGGTCGAGTTTTTGTTATTACTAGTTGTCACCCCGCGCCTTGCCACGGGATTTGTTAGTTTTATCATCGAATAAAATCAATGTTTTAAATGAGTTTTTGTTATTACTAGTTGGCACCCCGCGCCTTGCCACGGGATTTGTTAGTTTTATCATCGAATAAAATCAATGTTTTAAATGATTAGATGTAACTCTTTGTATATACAAAATAGATGATAATGTGGCTTCATATATAGCTTCTGTTATTACAATACAATTCATGTTTTATTTTTTGAAACATCATTGTGTATTGTTATGATGTATGAAAGTTATTTTCATGCACAATCTGGATATCGTCACAATTAGGTAGTGTAGCACTTCTCTGTTTCATCTCAAGCATGTTTCAAAAATGAGTTTGGATTAATGATACCTAATTATTGTATGTTATCTAATTGTTTATAACAAAATAAAGCTCACATCTTATGTAATAATTGGAGTTGTATTTAGAACAAAAAAAATATTATTATCATCTTTGAGGATTTGGATGTGCAGAATGGATAACAATGTCACGCGTGATTATGAGCTAAAAGGAGGTGAATGAATGAGTAATCAATGATTAATTTAGATGGATGAGTAGCTAGCTTCTTGATCCAACGGCTTATAACTCTATACTAATGCGATCCAATGGCTTAAATTGTTGATGATGTGGCTTCTTGCATGTCTTGTTTTATAGGAGTAAATGCTTCTTAGTAGGTACCAACTCTATACGAAGATAGGATTTGCTAAGATCACTTTCTTTTCAAGGAACCATATAAATATCTTGATTTTTAGAGAGGTGCCTTTAATTCCCATAATATCCTCCTAGAAATTTTTATATTGGATCTTCTGATTGTGTCATACATTGGGTTGAGTTTCACCTATGTTTCTAGGAATACCTTAACAACATATTTGCATTATACTACCTTTGTTTTCTAATATATGATGTTATTAATTTTTTGACAAACGTTTGACCATTCGTCTTATTCAATTTTTTTGTGCAACTATAAAAAATATAAGTCATGTTAAAGACATTTGACGATAAATCAAGTCACAATAAAATAAATAATAATTGCATTAATCTTTTGAATAAAACGAATGATTAAATGTATATAAAAAAGTTAGCAACGTCACATATTAAAAAACAGAGAGAGTACTTCCTCCGTTTCACAATGTAAGACTTTCTGGCATTGCCCACATTCATTTAGATGTTAATGAATTTAGACATATGTATGTGTTTAAATTCATTAATATCTATATGTATGTGGGCAATGCTACAAAGTCTTACATTGTGAAACGGAGGGAATATTCTGTAAAGGAATTTAAATTCAAGACATGTGGTAAGGCCTCGTTGTGTGTGGCGATGCTGGATAGTCAAAATTCCTTATCCATCCCAAGCCAAGATTGAACATAGCTATGTAGCATGCATTTTACGAGCGATGTTTTTGGTCAGGATAATTTTATCATCCTTGAGAATGTATCTCCCAATACAATATTTTATAGTATAAAATTTGGTACCTTTAGATATGAAGTACCTCTAAGTACCTCGAGGTACTTTCTAATCGTAAAATTTCTCTTTTGGTCAATGATGCTTGCTCTATCACACTATCATGACCAACAGAGTATACTAAATGTTCTTGCAGCAAAGGCATGGTTTCCTCTCATTATGCTGGCTCTACAGTTTGCAAAGAAGTTGGTATCTCTATGCGGACATGAGATATTTATATAGGAATAAAGTGATTCTACTCAGTAACTGGGAGCTACAAATTTATGTTTCCCTTTAATACAAGAGCCACAAGACTTCATTGTGCAAATCATGAATAATACACTTGTTGAAGAGAGTGCACTATTCACATTTGCTAGATGTTTACAGAAGTTTGCATGCATGGAACTAATAGCATGGACTTAGTAAGGTATTGACAATTCAAGTCTTGAAGATGGAATGATTTCAAATCAAACACAACCTTTTTTAAAAAGAAAAAAAGCAATGCGCTGGCCTAACCATTCTTAATTAGTACTGTTTTTGAGAATTCTTTGTTTGAAAAAATAGAAAAAAAAGCACAAAAAAAAGGAGATATAATGGCATAACTCTCCTGTGAGTTCTTGAAATAAACACAAGAAGTAATTCAGAAAAAACTGGCCTCCAGAACCCTAATGAACTCTACCATATCTATCCTCCTATCTCTGTTCATGTCATATTTGGCAATCATTTGCTCACACTCATCAACCCCTACACCTTCTCTTAATCCTAGATTCCTAAGGACTCTATACAAATCCAATGCATCAATGTACCCATCATTATCCTCATCAAACACCAAAAATGCCTGCTTTACTTCGTCCAAGCTCGGTTCATCGTCATCGAACAACTCTGACATGCAGTTAGAACCAATCTCCTTGTAAACCATAGTTTTTCCGTGATCAAAATCAGGCCCCATCTTTGTCATCACAGACTCAACATCTTCATGTGTCATCTCTATCCCATCATCTTTATGCTTACTTAGATTCTTTGATATCTTTCTGTCGGCGAGAACCGGTGTCGAGGTCACCTTGGTGACGGCATAATTGCAGTGTTGGCAAGAACTAGGGAGGATCATCTGAACCTTCGAGATGAACCAGGTAAACATGGTGAAGAGGATGAGGAGGCAAACCGGTTCTTGGGACTCCAGTTCCAGGAGGAAGTGCATGGCCGGTGACTTCTCCATTGTTGCCTAGTTGGCTTCTTGAACTGAACTCTTGTTTGTTGCTTCTTCACTTTCTTGGTGGTTTTGGTGAGAGGAAAAATCCATGTAGGAAGGTTATATAGGAAACCTTGTTGATGTATGTTGTTTTGTAGCGTATGGCTTCAACAGAATCAATCTGAAATAACTATGCAAGTGACGAGATGTTTCCCAGTTAGAACATTTGTATGGAAGGAAGACTAGAGGACGGCTGCAAGATGGCTGCTTTGTCTGACAGATTCAAGAGTCTACTCTGGTTGGTCTTGCCTTGCCTCCGTTTGGTTCTTGCAATTTTCTTTTACAAAATTGGAACTTGCCTGGAAAGGAGGGGAGTCAGAGAGTTTGATTCTCTCTTTCAATTACAAACAGTAGTCTACTTGATGATGCTCTATGTTATGATGCAGTAGTTTTCAGAAACTATTGGCTCCTTAACTGTGTACATGTTGGGGAACAGACTGAAAATGGTCAGTGGTTAAATATTCAAGGTTAATGTCTGAATATCTGACGAATATTGAATGAAAGAAATAAATTATTCAAAAGTTGTTGAATGAAATCCACCCAAAAGGAAATTGTATGAACTGGGTACTAATTCTTGGGCCGGGCTGTACCGGTCCGAACTGGGTATTTCAAGTTGGAATGCACAAACTTATCAGATCAACTCTGACTGGAGATGGGTTGTCAGTGGAGGCCATTTTGGGTACTTAGGGTGAAAACGGTCTGAAATTTACATGGACTCATCATGGGCCAGGCAAGGCTAGCAATCCATTTCTTTTAGGTCATGTAGTATATGTTAATCTGAACTTTTATTAAGTCCCAAGTAGGAGAATCAGTCTCTGAAAATTTTTCAGGTAGAATAAGCATGGAGGTTGCACCGAAATTTCAGGGAAGCCTATAAATGCTGTCGGAAAGAAGAACAAGACTCAAGACCTTATAAGCATTTTCAATAGAGACTCAAGACTTGAGAGGAAGTGTAGAAGGATGCAAACTAACTCATTCGTATCTTTGGTTTAAATGCTTCTTCCTTTAATTTAATGTCAACCGTACTACTGTAGATCGACTGGAAGTTCATACTTATCAATTTTGATTCTGGTTTGATAAAGACTTGTTCTTTGCTAAAATGTTAGGAATTAATACCATGCACATGTGCATCTGTTTTTTATTGAATCATATGTGTCTAATTATCAAAGAAGCCATATGTTTCTTGAAGAACTTGAGAAGGTAAAACCTGCCCTGCCAATGACTGAACAAGTCAAGATCCTATAAGCTGACAAAGTAAAATTTGAGTTTTTACCGTCATCTTCCGTTTCATTTTTTCTTCCCTCTTAAATTTCCGCGATGCATTTGCGCATATATTTCGTGTGGTGTCATCCAGTATGCACCTCTTGTTTACATGTCAATCACAATCTTTCTCAATCAGCTCATCCTTTTCAAAGAAATGTCAAGTTCATTGCATGGACATTGCCTGAACAAAAAACGAGAAAGAATTCATCGGTGCTTTGCGATACCAACGTGACATAGTGCCTGATTGCCTGTGACTCACCGAGGTTCAGGAATTCAGTGATAACCTATATACCAGTGGCACAGCACTTATTTCAAGCCTCTCATATTTTTCACAAAAAAAAAATTGTCTACATGCAAGTGTAATCTAATGCTTGCTGTAACTTTTTTCACCACAAACAAATTTTGATGTTTGGAAGTCTTTCGGACAGCTGTAAAGTTTCTATTGGCGGGAACTAACTTAGATGAGTAGTTAACTACTGTTTACTTCATCAGATAAGATATATTAGCAATTTAGCATAGTAGAGGCTAACAAACTATCTAACCAAAGTGCCGAATCCACTATCATGCTTAAAGTGACTAGCTTTAGTTTACCTGAAGTTTGAAGCCCACATTGTCTGCATCAGGATAAGAAAAGCCGGTACGGTTGGTGACCATGCTGCTGATGCACAGTCATCTCAAGCAGCAAAAACTGCCAGCATCATCTGCACTATGTCACCACCCAATTTGCAAGCAATTGTGTGGCACATCCTCCTTTTAGGTGGTCTTGATCCATTCCTGCTTTATTTCTAACCTTGTCATTTCTTTGCCAATTTATATGTGCCCTTGATTCCTCGTTTGCTCATCTGCTCTTTTTTCGATATGTATCTATCTTGTTGTATCTTCTTTTCTCATGACGAGCGATTCGGTTTTTTGCGGCTTTCGATCTATGCTACCCTAGATACCTGCCAAGAAAGGGCACATACAGGTTGATTGATTAGCCAATACTGAATTCATTACAAGAGCTTTTAGCCTCTCATTGCCTATGAAAATGCTCACCTACTTTTGTAGATATAAAAATAAACCCATCATATGAGCTAATGAAGCACTTCAAGAAAAAGTCAATTTTTATAGCAGATTAGAGATTGGGCTACAGCTAGCCTAAACACATGATTGTGGAGGATGTTTCAGAGTCCTCTATGACTCCATGCTCCATGACAAATGAGCTATAAAATAGCTCAATTCTGAAGCTCCATATGACCCCCTCATGGATGCAGAAGAATAGTAGAAAAGTACTTCAAGATGGAGAGAGTTCCTGCAGTTCATCTGGCAGTGGTGCTCCTGGCCTTCTGCTGCCTCATCCATGCATCATCAAGTGCTGAAACTCCACTCCCACCTGGTAATCTTCTCGGTTCCTCGCCTCCGTATCTTCTTCGTGGCATATTGTTTTTTCAGAAATTCATAGTAAAACATAATGAGATCTGAACATTCTGACTGAATATTGATGTTTGAGTCACAACCAGCCCTCAAGGTGATGCAGCGTTTTGAAGCAACTCCAGTCTCTAGCAGAGGAGATGATCAGGTGATCCGGGTCCAGCTCTCTTTTCCATCTCATAACTTTGATTAAATCAAGTTTTTTTTTTGAAAAAAAAAGAGAGAGATCAGCTTACACTTTTTTTAGAACCTATATATTCAGATAAGTAATAACTGTTCATGTTCACCATGTTTTCAAGTAGTACTAGTAGCTACTTTTCAGAACATGTTCTGTTTAGCTGCAATTGCAAAACTGTCTGCTCAATCTCAACCATGATCCATAAGGCTGCCGCCGTCATCGCCGGAGAACCGGAGGCCGGCGAGGTCAACGGCAGGATGGAACTGGAGCTCACCGATTACCCGGGCTCCGGCGCCAACGATCGGCACTCGCCATGGGGGCAGGAGAGGAGAAACTGAGCAGCAGCAGCAAAAAATCTTCAGAGAAAACTTCATCCATGGTCACTTTCTTCAGAGAGAAAATTCAGACTTTGTACCTGTACCATATCATGTATACTTAATTATCTCTACTATTTTCTACACAACTGTTACAGTGTTTCTACACCCTGTGTAACATGAAAGAGAGGATTTGGGAGTTAATTAACGACTGATAATCAGTCGCCGGCACCATAATATTATAACAATTAATTATAACATTTCTAGTAAGTTTTTTAGTCAAAGTTGTTATTTGTTTAATTAACTTTCTAGGCGTGTTTGTTCTACTGTAATTTTTCTGTTCTAGTAATATCTGAATCTTTGCTTTGATCGATTCAATTATATGTTGCGTGTGGTGAAGGATAAAAGTATTAATGCAATCTGATGTTCTCATCTAGAACATTTTTGCCAGTTCGTTGATTTCGGTTTGATTTATTGGAGACGACTAGGCTGAAGATTTCGTGTTAGGCAGCGTGGAGTGACCTGTCACAAAGCTGAGGCTGACGAATGGCGTTACGATTTCCTTCTGATTTGTGATCTACACTCTTGATTAACTATAAGTAGTTGAGAAATACAAGGACCTGATTTTTCTTTTTTTTTAAAAAAAACATTTGCTTCAGGTAAAATGCATCTATTTCAAATCTAAATTGTTTAGAATTTTTTTTTACTTTGAAAATAGAGTGCGTGTCACCTAAACGATCTCGTACTTTCATTTCTGGTGATAGAAGTGGAGGAGACTTCTCTTTTTTTAAAAAAAAAAATCTCACTAAATGATTTACTTACATTACACGCTAGTGACATGAAACCTTTGTAAATCACTAAATCTTATGAAATCCGATAAAACCTAAATAATACCTCGAGAAGCATCACCGATCATTAAAAATAACTCCCTCTATACCATAACATTTAACGTTGGTTAGTTTATTTTTTAACCATCACCAACAAAAAGAACCAAAGAAGTAGTACAAGGTTAATTTTGACTTCACGATATTGGATCAAACCTAGTGCAATGCAAAAGCGAAGGTTCTCGTCGGTAACCCTACAGCTTTGGCTAATCAGCTAAATTGGCCTTTTCAATTCAGCATAATCAGCCATAAAAAGGTGTCCACAAAGATCAAATACACTACCAATAGCTGGTACTTATTCAGCACAATAAGCTAACTGATGGGCTTGTGCTAAATATCAGCCTCAGCCACAGCAAACCGATGAGGTCCGAAAACATTTACCAGCATAACATAAATTACTTCTCACTCGAAATTTAGTCGAAAAAGAGAGGAAATTAAAATACAACTCGAGATTTAGTCGAAAAGACAGGAAATTAAAAATACAGTATACATTTGATTCGCTTCGATCCAGCGTGTCACGCGGAATCCGCCCGTTGCCTTTGCCGGCTGCGAAAACCACGAGCGGGTGTAACGCCGTCAACCCGAGACCCCGAGACCATCGATCCCGCGCCGTCCGATCCTGATCGCGCGGCTCCCGTGCCGCACGACGGCAGACGGCCGCCGTGCTGTGGCCGTTGCACCGCGTCGGCTTCCGATTTATTGATAATAATAATCCAGATTTAATTTAATATTTTATTGTTTACCACACAGCTGCTCCTCCTCGGGCTTGACTCGTCTCGTCTCGACTCCACGAACGAACGAAACACGCCTTCTTCCCCAACGACCAAACCAAAGTTTGGGTGAAGAAAAAAAAATATCGCCGCGTTTTTATCCCCCACGAGACGAGTCGAGACGACCAAAAGCCTAACTAATCGGGGGCAAGACGAGGAGGAGAGCGGATTCTCGTCGGCTTCGGCGACCGGAAGAGGAGAGGAGACCGACCCCGCGCCGTGTTCCGCCGCCGCCGCCGCCGCCGACGACGACGACGGCAAGTAGGTGCGTGCGATCCCCTTCCCCTTCTCTTTGCGCGGAGCCCGTCGCCGAGCGGCGCGGCGGTGGGGAGTCCGTTGATGTGTGTGGTGCCGCCCGATTTGGGGGTGATGTGATGTGGTGTGGTGGCTGCTCTTCTACGGTGGAATCGGGGAGAGATTCGCGTTGTTATGGCGCTGATTCGGTAGGGATTGGGTGGGTTGTTCGTATGATCCGCGCTCAGAAGGGGAATTTTGCTGTGGAGAGTTGGGGGGGGGGGGGTTGGTTGTAGCTAGGGTTTCGGTCGGGGACGGGCTCTAGTCTCTAGAGAGTTTTAGAGTAGTCCAATACAGTAAACGGAGTGGTTTTTATTTTTCAGGAATTTTCGCTTTACTGCCCGATTCGAACTATGCCCATTTTTAGCCATCCTCTTGTGCGAGTTTACCCCGTATTGACCAATGGCGTTGTTTGCCTTGTTGGTTTCTTGCAGGAATTTGATTCTCCTGGGGAATTAACTTGTTAGGAGAAAAGGAATTTGGGATGGGCGACCATGTGGTGGTGAATGTGGAAGGCTTGGGAAACGATGGAGGGGCTGTGGAGAAGCCATCTGAGGCCGTGAACAGCTCAGTGGTGGCTGCTGCGTCGCTTTCTACGACTGTTGATACGGTCGAGGAGGGCGGTGGAGAGGAGGAGCCGCTCATCCAGGCGGCGGAGTGCCGTATATGCCAGGAGGAGGATAGCATCAAGAACCTCGAGAAGCCTTGTGCTTGCAGTGGCAGCCTCAAGGTCCAGCTCCTCCTCTTTTGATGTTATTTCCATCTTGGATATGGTTCTTATGTTCCTGAAATTATTGTAGGCAGCTTGTTGTTCATGCAGTGCATGTAGTTACTGGGGCTAAGAATAGGCTAGTTGGGGTAGTGCTTTTCCTAGTTTCCATTTTGGCTTCATTATGGTTTTTCAATTCTATTTTCATGTTGGATAAGTTGATGGTTTTCTTGCACATAAATTGATCTACCATGTTAGATAAAGTTGATTTATCACATTAGATTCCCTGATAGGTTATACTACCTCCATTTCAGGTTATAAGACTTTCTAGTATTGCCTACATTCATATAAATGTTAATGAATCTAGGCACACATATATGTCTAGATTCATTAACATATATATATATATATATATATATATATATATATATATATATATATATGAATGTGGGCAATGCTAGAAAGTCTTATAACCTGAAACGGAGGAAGTAGTTGTTTAATTGCCTTGTATATGTATGTTCAGGATAGTATCACTGCCATATCATATGATGGGGATAAAATTGTTCACCCCTATGGCAGCATAGTTTACTGGGATGCTATCTATCTACCTGTAGAGGATGCTAACCTTTAAACATGCTGTGTACAAAAAAATTGGTTTATCCAATAACTATGCAGTATCGGGCATGGCATGTATGTACCTTTAAGCATGCTCGTGTGACTGTGTCCTCACTTTCTCCTGAATCTAGCTGCAAATGGCAAGTTGGATTGTTCTCATATACTTTTTAATGAAGAACCAACCTTTGATCTCATAGGGAAGTGATGTGGATATGGATATTGCATATCATCTGTTTGTCACAATCCCTTGTGGAGAACACTTTGCAAAGACAAGTTGAGTCAGCACTCCGTTAAACAAAGCAGCTATGAATTCCATTTTACAATCTTTATGGGATAAGACATACCAGTGTTTTGTGCAATGGTTTTTGAAGCAATAGTTGGGTCACCACATTGCTACTTTATGGTATGATGCTACCTTGGACACTAAATTTCAACAGCAATACAGTGCATGGGCCGGTCTTACGTCATATTAATTGCCAATGGCAATACGTAATGCAAACCCACACTCAAGCAAGCAACCACCAATAGTAAGGCTGTGTTCGGGAGGTGGAATTCCACCTCCCCGCAAGAAAAACATGGTGGTTTATTAATGTTTAATTAATTAAGTATTAGCTAAAAATAACTTGAAAAATGGATTAATATGATTTTTAAAGCAACTTCCGTATATAATTTTTTTGTAAAAAATGTACCGTTTATTAGTTTGAAAAGCATGCACGTGGAAAATGAGAGAGGTGAGTTGGGAAAGTGAAGAAAAGAACTCAGCCTAAATATATTGGTTTTGAGTTTGATCCAACAACGAAAAATGCATTTTTATCTCTTAATATTCTATTGGGAGCATATCAAGGGCTACTCAAACCATCTGTCCCCAACTATCTCCATGACTTATCACAGTAATACTTTATTGATCTCTTCTGTACCGTCTGCTGGTACTGTTAAGTCTTGAGTTATGTCTTGTTATTTCATTTCATTACATTTCTTCCATATTTCTGATAGAAGCTCATGAGATGATTAAAGATCCTTAATAATCTTATAATCCATTAACCCAGTCCATTTTGTGTGAAAAACTGGATATTAAATAAGCAAATTTATGAGATTCGTTACTACTTTATCTGCTTTGTTTCTTTTAGCTTGGAATTTGCTTTTAAGTCATAGCTATTCTTTGGATATAATGTGTGTTTGACATGAACTTAGAGGCTGCTTCTGTGTAGTCAACTAACTTATAATGTGTGTTGTCCTTGGCTTGTATACCATATGAGAAAGTACTTGTATGTTTTATCTATGTAATTATTTTGTATTCTGGAATTGACAATTTTACTTTCTTCATGTACAGTATGCTCATAGAGCTTGTGTGCAACGCTGGTGCAATGAGAAAGGAGACATTACATGTGAAATCTGTCATGAGGTCAGTAAGATTTCTTCTCTACTACTCCATTACTACGCATTGCTTTCTAGTTCTTATCTAGAGGCTAAGATAGCACCTATTTTGATATGTGTGCATCCAAATTGCAGTATATTTGTTTCTTCTTAGGACTTCATTTGTCAAATGTTCTGATCTGACCTTGACCTGATGATTTGACTTGTTCTTTCTGCAATCTCACGTCCTCACCAATACAATATTGCTGTTGCGATAGCTGAATTCCTCTTTAATGCCATATGCACCTTTTTCTTGATGTGTGCTGCTTGCTCTTCTTCTTTCACATAGGCCTCACTCCATACAGGATCATGGCTTTTGTGTGACAACCTTGAACTCATTTAGTGTTGTCTATCTGCCATTACACCGTTACCATTTGAAGTTGCTTGGGGAGCGAGAGCTAAAGCAGCTCATTTTTATTTTAATCAATATTAGTTGATTTGAAGTAATCTGAGTGACGGGGACAGGTCGTGATAAATTGGGTAGATTTGAGTTTTTCCATGGGTGCTTAGTTGTGGCCTTCCAATTTAGTATTAGTTCGATCTTTTCCTTTCCTTTCATGAGCTTAAAACCAGCATTTAGTTTTAGGAGAATGTAGGGGAGACCGGGAGAGCCCTACTATGCTGGTACATTGCATGCTTTTGTGATTGATTAACTGTTTATGTTTCAAATATGTTTATACTCGTAGAATACCTGTAGCTTCTTTCAGTCTTCTGTAGATTTTCCAATGTGTTTCCGTTCCTGTGTATTAATTTCGTTGAGGCTTGTATTTTCTTCTGCAGCAATATAAGCATGGATACACAGCTCCACCTCGTGTTGAACCAGACGATACCATCATAGATATCGGGTAAGTTATTTCTGTACTTATTTTGCTTAAATTTACCAGTTTGTCCATTTGATTATATTGTGTTCAAGTGCCTTTGAAATTTGAAAATTTAGAACATTTCTAAGTCAATACTGTTGGCTTGCAGTGGTGATTGGGCACGTGACCCAAGAATTATTGCTGTAGCGGCTGCACAACGTCGTCTTCTTGAAACTGAGTATGATGAATATGCTGGTACTGATGCTAGTGGTGCTGCATTCTGCCGTTCTGCTGCACTTATAGTAAGTACTAAACAACAATTCAAGGTCCTGTTGTGCTTAATAAGCTAAGCTAATTCATAGATTGCTACTTCCAGAGTCCAGACAATTTGTCCAGTCACCAGTATAGCCTATCGCCCTATCGATCTGTTTTATAATTGAAGAACCATGCTTAGAGATACCTTGCATTTCTCTCATAGTTCTGTTTAATGAATGGAAGTATAATATTTTTAGTTGGTTTACAAATAGGCAATCAAGCTAGCCTCCTTCTCTAGTCAATCCTTTGTATGACTTCTCTAGCCAAATGGCTTGTCTCGAATTTCTGGAATTCTCAAGATTGAACATTCTAAAATCCTTGGTGCTTTTCCAGCTAATGGCCTTGTTGCTATTGAGGCATGCTTTGTCTATCTCAGACAATGAAGGAGATGATGATGCTTCTACCATGTTCTCGGTTAGTCTTGTGTTCCTTCCCCACTTTTTTTATCTTATTGGTTCTTTCTGAGCTCAATGTTGACTTAAAAATCTTTTTTTACATGACTTAAAATCTATTAATGTTCTTCAATGTCCAACAGCTCTTTCTACTTCGAGCTGCTGGATTTCTGCTGCCATGCTATATCATGGCTTGGATATTCAGTATTTTGCATCGCCGGCGACAAAGACAGGTACTTCTAATTCTGTATGGATCTCATTGATTGTCAATAAAATCATTATTGGGCTATTCTTATGGAGGAATGAAATGATTGGTGGACCATCTGATCCTAACTTTGACACATTAACCACTTGGTTGGTTTAACGAATGGGATGGGTTGTTGTGTCACTCTTATCATGTTTAGCAGAAAAACGAAAAATGACACCACCTCACCAGAATCACGTGATGATCCCTATCCAACTTGATGTAGTATTATGGAATGGAAGTTTTAGGCCCCGTTTGGTAGGGCTCCAAACTCCAAACTCCAACTCCTAACTCTAAACTCCCACTCCAGTGAGAGCTGGCTCCAGTGGGAGCTCCAAACACTTTTTCACTCCAGTGTTTGGCTAGTATTCAGCTCCAGATCTGAAAAAAAAATTTAAAAAAGAAAAAAACAAATGCCCAAACCCTAACTGCCCGTACGCCGCCGGCCACCGGCCGTGCGCTGCCGCGTGCGCCGTCCCTGCGCCGCGTCCCCCCACGCGCCATCGGCCGCCGACCACCTGCCACGCGAGCCGTCGCCCGGCGCTGGCCGCGCGCCGCCCCGCGCACAGTCCCTCCATGAGCCGCCTGGCGCTGCGTGCGCCGTCGCCCGTCGCCGGCCGCCTGGCGCTGCGTGTGCCGTCGCCCGTCGCCGGCAGCGCCATCCGCCACGGCCGCGCGCGCTGCCCCCGTGCGTCGTCCCCCCACGCGCTGCCCGGCGCCGCGCGCGCTGTCGCCCGCCGCTGGCCGCGCGCCGCCCCGACGTGCCGTCCCCCATGCCCACCGCCGGTAGCGCCGTCCGCCGTGGCCGGGCGCCGTCACCCGCCGCCGGCCGCACGCTGTTGGCCAGCCACCGCCCCGCGTGCCGTTCACCCTGCCATGGCGACTCGTGAGGATTACAGGAAGGGGAGAGAGAGGTGAGAGGTGGAGGTGAGATTGGGGGTAGTTCAGTGGCATTTCTGTGTAAATAAGTTAAAAAATTAAAGGGTAGTGGGTCTTTTGGGGTGGAGTGGAGCTGTGGAGCAGCAAAAACCCAGCTCCACCCCCGTAGTTCATTTTGTAGGAGTAGCTCTGCTAACTCCGCTCCCAAAAATAGAGGATCTAGACTGTTTGGCACAGCTCGACTCTAGGTAAGTTTGTTGGGAGCTGGAGCTGTGCCAAACGGGGCCTTACTTGCCGTAATTACTCTAGTGGGCATTGCAGTATAACTATCATCGATGCAACATCTAAACTCTTTCGTACTTGTATTTTTGGCAGGAAGCGGCTGCAATTGCTGCAGCAGAGGTGGCATTCATCCTGCAATCAGCCCAAGGCCATGCCCTTCAGTTCACCATCGCTCCAGACTCCCCCGCCACTCCACAGCATGAGCCACAGCAGCAGCAGCCGCAGCCGCAGCCGCAGCAATAGCTAGTTACTTCAGTAGCGTCTCTCAACTACTGACTCGCACATGCAGAAGAAGAGGATACCTCAGCTAGTGGCCGCTTTGTTGTTTCCTGTTGCAACTGGCCCAGGGACGCTAAGAACCTGGCCTCGCCTTGTGTGGCCGGGTAGAAACCTTGTAAAACGCCAGAGATTCATTTGTTGCAAGCGACCGCAGCTTAAGCCCCGCTACCCTTCGATTTGTCTCTGTGTAACTCAAGCATTGATTTATTGTAAATTTGTCGTCTGTTGGAGTCCATTTTTTTAGTTCCTTTGCCAAGTGTTTTACTGCCATGTACAGTATTATTACATGGGAGCTTTTATCTTTCAAAGAATTAATCTGAGTGAGTGTGAAACTGTTAGGCTACGTTTGCTGAGAGGTTAAGCCCCTGTTTGGGATGCTTCTGGCTTCTGCCCCCCCGACCGAATCTAGCTTCTCAGCCCAAAGTGGATCTCTCTCCCGAACAAGATAATCAGGTTACATGACCTAAAGGCGGGTTTGGGGAACTCAGATCCTGCATTTGGCAGCTAGTATGGTCATTATGTTGCTGTTGTGCTAAATTAGGACGCATCAGTTGTTACTTGGTGCTCGTTTAACTTATTCCATAATTTTGAAATGTTTTCATCGGTTAAATTAATCCTCTTTGGCTGGTAATAAACTACCCTCATTTTCTAATTTTTCCTAATCAGATGGGTATGATTGTAGTATCTATTTGCTAAATTAAATTAGACAAGTTTGATATGGTTGTAGTCACAGCTATGGCAAGATTCTTTTCTAACAAACTAGATTCCACACGTTATTGACTAACAAAACGTGATAAGATTTTCTTATACTTACTAAGGTGTGACAATATTTATGGGTAAAAGTGTGACGGGAACCAACTACATGCTTACTCCATCCCACAATTCATTTGTTTTAAAGTTGTCTCGTTTGTCCAGAAACAAGTTCGTTCTTAGCAATCGGAGTTTGTGAAATTAAGAAATAATATGTATCGAAAGTAGAAAAGGTGGAAAATGATTATATTAGGATTTGACAGAGCAGTGGCATTCTAGCTTTTTTTATTGTTATGTATAGGATATATGGAAAATAAACTTTTTTTTCAAGACAAAAGGAGTACTTTCTACATACTTCATCAGTCCCATAAAAAACTATTTTTATGAAACCAAGGAATGTGATATATCATAGTAATATGAATTTAGATATTGTCTAGATTTTTGGTATTAAGATATCTCATATCTTGTATTTTTATTTGTTTATATAGAAGAAAATAGTACTCCCTCCATTCCATAAAAAACTAAATAAAATAGGATACGACGTTCTCTATTACAACAAATAGACTCTAGCTGTGTTTAGTTCCTTTCAAACTTCTAAAAATTCCATCATATCAAATGTTTGGACACATGCATGTAGCATTAAATTTGGACTAAAAAACAATTGCACAGTTTGCTTGCAAATTGCGAGAGGAATCTTTTGAGCCTCGTCATGATTTGACAATGTAGTGCTATAGTAAACATTTGCTAATGACGAATTAATTAAGCTTAATAGATTCGTCTCGTAGTTTACCGGTGAAATCTGTAATTTATTTGTTATTAGTCTACGTTTAATACTTTAAATATAAATATATGTTTATATACTTAAAAAAAATTTGAAAAGAGCTAAACACGGTCTCTTCTCTATATAGATTTAGTGTCCTACAGAACGTCGTTTTTTTTTATGGGTGGAGAGATTGAGAGCAAAAGGTAGTCAACGTGTAAGCTACATCACACGCTCCACCCTCGCGTCTCGCCACAAGAATCGGGTAGGCAGGAAAAAGCGGACCGTGACCGCGGCAGCAGCAGCAGGAGGCAGGGATCGGGATCTGGGGCCCCAAAAGCCGCACGTTTCGCCCCCCACCGACGTATCTACGTGCTTCCCCGTCGACCACCCCCATGGGCCGTGGCCCTCCGCATCCGCATCGCGCTTTGCGCTTTGCTCTTTGCGTGGGCCCCGCACCACGTCACCCCGTCGCATCGCGGCAGCCCACGTGGCAGTCCACGCCCCCAATCGGCCATTGACGTCTGGGAATTTGAAGCCTCTCGAGTCTCCACTCGGTGGGTTTAGAGCAAGCTTAATACGGAGTAGTGTAGTCAGTTACTCCCTCCGTATCATAATAATATAAAGAATTTTGAGTTTTTCTTTCAATGTTTGAACACTCGTCTTATTCAAAAGAATTTAAAATTATTATTTATTTTATTTATGACTTACTTTATTATCTACAATATTTTAAGCATAACTTTTCGTTTTTTATATTTCCAAAAAAAATTTGAATAAGACGAGTGGTCAAACGTTGCAAATAAAAACTCAAAATCCCTTATATTGTGGGACGGAGGGAGTACTAACTTCTAATTTCTAGTTAATCTAATAATCAATTCATATAATAGTTAGCTATAAATATATATTATATCATTAATAATTAGTTCCACATATCATACACACGGTGTTTTGTTTTAGAGTTCGTACTGTAGCTGGCTACAAATATGTAACCCGTTTCTGTTCTATCTCCTCTCTTATCTCCTCCACGTAAGTTTATAGCCGACTTATTATTTATTATTGTACGTACTCTTAAAACTAAAAGGGAGAATAGCTAATATGGTCCCTAAAGTTTCGCTCCTGGATCATTTTAGTTCTTAATCTTTCATATTGTAATATAGTCCTTGATCCCACCAAAATCACCACATGGACATGCCATGTCACCTTCCTATGCAAAATCTATATGATTTGTCCAATTTACCCTTACGCATAGGTAAATAAAAAACAAAAGAAAAAAGTTAAAAAAATATATATGGTACATGTAAGAGCAAAAATATACCTCAAAAGGGTGAAAAAAGAAGTATTTTTTTCCTATGGTTATGTCTAATTCACTCTTATATTTATTTTTCTATGATATATGTAAGAGTATATTGGACAATTCATTATAGATTTGCATGAATGATGACATGGCATATCCATATGATGATTTTGGTGAACCCAATGACTATTCTAGGCCTTATGACAAAGGTTAATGATTTCTTTGGACCATTTAAAAGGTTAGGGACTAAACTGATCCTACAAAGAAACTTAGTGCTATTCTCCCAAACTAAAAAAAAGAGTTTAGAAAAATAACGAGAATTTGTTAGACCACCTCCGTGGCCGCTCTTCTCGCGCGTGCGGCATGGGTGGCTGCCAGTGCCGCGGGGTCACGTCGCGTCGCTCTCAATCCCGAGATCGCGGCGGGTTCGGCTTGGCGATTGGAGAAGAAGAAAAGAAATGGCGCCGGGTGCGTGGAATATTTACGGCTGAGTCCCTGGTTTGTTTCATATTGTTAACCGTGACCTTTGGCTAATACTAGTTTTTTTCTTTCTTTCTTTGTTTCGAGTTCTCTTGCTCAGGAGTGGGCATAAAAAAAAACCAAGCTGAAAGACCAAATCGAAAAGACCTGACCAAGACCGAGAAATTCAATCCTAGATAGTGAAAGACGGAATTTTATTCGGTTTGTCTCCCCAGCTAACCGAATAGACCGAATTAACATGAAAATGCTCAATGCAAACTACAATCCACTAAGTTCAATAGGATTAAACTCTAATTTTTCATATTCCTACTCTTTCTAGGCATGCAACCCCATAAGAGTCTTTATTCAGACGTGCTTGTGAATTTCTTTTTTGTGATTTTTGTGTTGAAAGATGCTATGATTTTTTTCCATGTATGAAACTGCTCCTGAATTTCGGGTAGGAATGAGACCGAATTTGCTAGTTTTGATATTTTTTGCGTTGAAATTTGGTCTTCACTTTTTAATGACCGATAATGACCGAATAGACTGAAAGACCAAGACCTAAATTTTCGGTCTGACCAAATACCCACCCTTACTCTTGCGTGGATTCAGGTGGACAACTTCGCATTGCAGCAACCGTATTCAAGCTCTTGTGCCAAAGAATTTCGATGGAAAAAACACCAACTCTATGGATATAGTTTCGGTGAAAAATCTAGAATAACATCGTCTAATCCTAATCTTGGTGAAATCTTGTTCCTGCCTTCTCACCTTTTTATATTTAAGGGTTTACTCGCTTCCTTACAGTTCCGAACCATTTCAAATTTTGGTAATACCAAAATTTGGTGAGACAATGAACTATAAACATGTCACTGCCAACATAATCCTGTTAATTTTTGGTAATTATGAAACTTCTACTCTCAAAACTACTTTTGGCCAATGCTCCCACCCTTTTGTCTAATGCTCAAACATATATTTTTGTGGGGAGGATTAATTCCTCCATAGAGTTGCCTTAGTTGAATATATATTGCCTCATTAATTGGTCATTGATGAGGTGGCATTTAGGCAGATGAAAACAAAAAAGGGAAAGGATGAAAACCCCAATTTCCAGCCAATGAATGCTCTTGCTGGACGCCCCACTTAATTATGAGGAGTGACGAAACACTGCAAGCTGATCTTTGTTTCCTGATTGATCCATATCCAATGGCGCTGGAGTCGATTCCGCTTGTGTATCCATCCATTTGACTCCCAAACAAAAAATAGATAGATCAACTCCACTTGTGTATCCATCCATTTGGCTTCCAAACAAAAGATAGATCGGTGTAGACGTGACTAAGCTCGACAATGATGACACGATTGTTGCGGGATCAAAGCTTTCGTGTTGCTTTGTGATAAGCTCGGCAATGACAACCTACGTTTGGGCTCTGTTTATTACCGGTCATTTGGAGGGATGCATGGTGTGTGCGGAGGTGGGTGTGCCGCGTTTGTTCAGACAGCCATGAGATTGACCATACTTTGCTTTGTCGAGTTGTTTATTTTTTTTTCTTGTAACCCATCGGAATTTTACTGTTTTGGTTTGTCTACTATATAAAAACCTCTTTCCTCTCATAAAAACCATCCACCCTCAAAAATTCATTTCTAAAAAAAAGATTGTAAAAAAAAAAGAAAACCAAACAGCCTACTAGATCCAAATCTCCCACTAAACCGAATAAAAAAAACAGTTACACTGCTAGTTAAAAAAAGAAGAAGAAAGATAAACAACGGATCTCCCAAGGTCTTCAACGTAAAACCGCCAAACCGGGCCCCACAACAACGTCACAATTCCACATCCCACCGTCACTGACACCCCGGCCCCACCCCCAGTCAACCACCCCTCCCTTCCCTCCCCCAAACACCACGGAAGACGAAACAAACCAAAACCAAAACCAAACCAACCAACCAACTTGAAACCTCCCATCTCCGATCCCCACGTCGCCATCTCCCCCTCCCTCCTCCTCCTCCTCCGCCTCCTTCCCCGCCATAAAACCCAACCCCCACCACCACTCCATCGCCACCACCACCACCGCGCCAACCCTTCGCCGCCGCCGCCGACGAGGACGACGACGACGATCGAAATGGCCTCCTCCACCACCGCCTCCTCCCAGCTCGCCCTCGCCCTCGGCATCCCCGGCCTCGGCGGCCTCCTCATCCCCACCGACGCCGCCGCCACCACCACCACCACCGCCGAGGGCAACGATCTCCACGCCGACGCCTCCCACCCCGTCCTCCGCCTCGCCGGCGCCGTCCAGCACTACGAGTGGGGCGGCCGTCGCGGGTCCTCCCTCGTCGCGCGCCTCGCCGGCGAGGGCGATGATGGTGATGAGAGGCCGTACGCGGAGCTGTGGATGGGGACGCACCCGGCGGCGCCGTCGTCGCTGGCGGCGTCGGGGGAGTCGCTGAGGGAGTGGCTGGGGAGGCGCGGCCCCGCCGCGCTCCTCGGCCGCGACGTGGCGGCGAGGTGGGGCGGCGACCTCCCGTTCCTCTTCAAGGTGCTCTCGGTCGCCAGGGCGCTCTCCATCCAGGCCCACCCCGACGCCGCCCTCGCCAGGGCGCTCCACGCGCTCCGCCCCGCCACGTACCGCGACGACAACCACAAGCCCGAGATGGCCGTCGCCGTCACCGACTTCCGCGCCCTCTGCGGCTTCGTCTCCGTCCAGGTTGGTTTTCCACCACCCGCATTTCGCTGATTAATCACTAGTTCTAATTGCTTCTTGATGCACTTTGAGATCGAATTTTTGATGATACCATTAGTTCTGATGTTGTTGTTGCGCATGAATTTTGTTAGTTTGGTTGGTTGAAATTGTTTATGAGATGTTGCCAGCAGATCCCATGGATGATTCCTAATGGGTAGGTGGGTGTGAGGGGCGGAGTTGACTTATGTCGAAATCGAAATGTCAAGTGGGGATCTGGCTGCTGATGAATTTGGCAACGAACTAATGATTAATGATTAATGGGATCTGTAATTATCGAACGGGCAAGTACTTACTGACAGCCCAACAACCTGTTAATCCTTCGCTAAAATATCGTCATCTATAATAGTAGTATATAATATACCTTCAAACTTTTTATTGGTTTCAAGAAAATGCAGAGAAGATGAGGTTAGAATTTCATTTTGTTTTTTTTTTTAGAAAATCACACGCCTTTCATGAGGTACTGTGGTCCAGTGCTTCACAAACAGTTGATGCTGTCCAAGTATCCAGCAAGCTGCAATGGATTATCCCCCAACGCCAAAGGCATCATTTTATTGTTGGCCCCATGTCCATGTATAGTGTAGATTCTGTCCAAATCACATCCAGCGATGCGTTTACAAGTATGGCTGCTTAGGTAGGTGGGAGCCGTTTCGTGGACAGCAATTGGAAGTATGGCTTGCTTACTAGCTTAGGTAGGCAGCAGGCATTTCGTGGACAGAAAAAAAGGGTGTTGTTCAACAGCCGTAGCCAACTGCTTATTATTCTGAACCTCATATGTTGCAGTAATATTTCCCTATTTGAATTGCATATGCATCACCGATGGACAAATAAACAAGGGGGGGGGGGTAATATGCTCATATTTGGTTCTTGTACAATGTTTACTCTGAAATTCAGATTCTGGTTGGTTAGCATGTGACTTAAGTAATTCTAGATGTACAATGTGTACTCTGAAATTCAGATTCTGGTTGGTCACCATGTGACTTAAGTAATTCTAGATGCACTCCAGCTTCATTGACTGGTGTTTGGCTAGATGTATCACATCTTTATTGACCGATATTTAGCTAGACGCAATGTGTGACTAGTTTCAGAGTAGGAAACAAGGTATAATGAAGTATATAGAATACACTTTCAATATAATTCTTTTGTTTAAATCCTTCCAATTTTTCGGAAAATAGATTACAAATGCTATAGAATCTCATTGTTAACAATATGGGCTACATAGTACCTTGGAGCTTTTAGGACTCTAAGCATTGATTACCTGTAAAATTAAGTACTGACCTATTATACTGCAACCCAGGAGCTCAAGGATGTCTTGAGGACTGTACCTGAGGTTCGAGAGTTAGTTGGCAAAGAAGAGGCTGTGAAGCTTATGGGTGCCAAAGAGCATGATGGAGGCATCGGAGTAAGGTCATATCTGCAATCAGCTTTTACTAATTTAATGACAGCAAGCAAAGAAACAGTTTCTGAAGCAGTCTCAAAGCTAAAGAGTCGGCTGAATATTGAGAGTAAGGTAAACTATTCTCTTAATTATTCTTGACAGATGTATTATTTATTTCACTTGCCTATAATCTGTGTCAGCTGGGATGTCAATATCAGTTTGTTCCTTCGTCGTACGCTACGTTTTGCAAAATGTTTGAGCTTCTATCTGTCTTCTTGTTCATTTCTAAATGACAAAGGAAGACTTTTTAGGAAAAGCATAGTTGTTGCTGTCCAACTTTTTTTTTTTTGGGAATATTGCTGTCCAACTTTAGTGCCATATAATCCAATTGTGTGGTTAAGATGGAGTGTGATTTGACCTCATGTACTTGGGGCTACAAGACATTGTGTGTGGGATACTACCTCTTGAACTCATAGGCTTTGCAGCACCTTGTATGACAGATTCTGGTAGCATTGGGCTGGTTTAATTTACAACATGGTGAAATGAGGGTCTTAAATAATAAAAAAAAGTAAGGCAATGGTTCTGATTGTGAGCTACCTCACATTTCTGCTTTCTGAAACCCAGTTCCTAGCTCTGTATTCAGAATTTCAGATATGGCAGCCTCATATCTGAGGTAGGATCAGCAGTTCAGCAACATGTTACATGCTTACACAAAGATATTGCCAAACCTGATATTCCTTTTTGAGGAGATTCAAGCCTGATATTCTGCAATTGAACTGTTTTGCTGTTAATGTTCTTTTCAGGTTAGAACCTTGACAAAGAAGGAGCAGCTAGTGTTGTCACTGGAGATGCAGTACCCTGAAGATGTTGGTGTTTTAGCAGCATTCTTCTTTAACTATGTCAAGCTCAACCCCGGTGAAGCACTCTATATTGGTGCTAATGAACCACATGCATATCTTTCGGGAGAGTGCGTCGAATGTATGGCCACATCTGACAATGTAGTTCGTGCTGGTCTGACCCCTAAATACAGAGACGTCCAAACTCTTTGCTCGATGCTGACATACAAGCAGGTTTGTTTATCTGATTTCTTATTTATATAAGCATCACCTATATTCTGTTGATATTCGCTGTTATCTGATTATCGTCTATTGACAATTAGTGTTTCTAACTCTTCTGATGCTACACTAATCAAGTAATCATCATTGATTATGTTACTACTACTGGTATGGTAGAATTGCTTGCTCACTTCATAATTAAGAAAGGCGTATGGTACTACTACTGTTATGGAAAAACTGCTTGTTCACTTAGTGATTAAACAAGGCATATGTTTCTAGAATTGCTTGTTCACTTCAAAATTAAGCAAGGAAAATACTTCCTTCAAACATGTGGAGCTTGATTACACGAACAAACTCAGCCAGAATGTTCAAATATACTCCAGAAAATCTTGTGCTCTTTATTCCGTATTGTAATATAACTTACGATCTTCCTTATGCAGAACTACCCGGAGATTCTGCGAGGAGTTCCAGTGCAAGCATATGTAACGCGCTACATACCCCCATCTGAGGAGTTTGAAGTCGATCGCTGCCTGCTGCCCTCCGGTGAATCGGTCACCATGTCACCGGTGCCTGGCCCATCCATCTTCCTTGTCATGACAGGGGAAGGCAAGATTGAGGCAGATTCCATGCTTGATGAAGGAAAGGCAAAGGAAGGCGATGTTTTCTTCGTGCCGGCGCACACCGAGGTCAGGATCCTTGCTTCTGGTCCTGGGAGCATGCAGCTTTACAGGGCTGGGGTGAACAGCAGATTCTTCAGCTGACTTCAATAACACCGCAAATCTTCAGGGATTAAAGGTTATTGCGAGAGTAATTGGTAGGAAAACGGGTGTCTTACTGTCGTCCTTTCATTTTATCATAAGGTAGCTAGTTAAGCCATCATAGTGTATAGGCAAATGGAGATAAAGTCTCTCTCTTTCATACCCTTAATCCTGTTTATTTTTTTCCCCAATATGTAATTTACATTTTTCAGTACGCTGGAAGCAAATGAAATCTGTAGATGAGCTTCTAGTTTCGATTATTCATTCATCATGTACATGCGAAAATTGAAGTTTGCTTTGGATATAGAATAACTAATATGATTCCTTCGATCCTTGGCTAGCGGCAGAATATTATTGTTCGTGATTACATGCGAAAGGGATGGTGTTGGACTGTTGAGAGGAATGGCTAGCTGCAGAGCCTCTGCCTAAAACGAGAGATGATTGAACAACATTAGCTATAAAAGAACTGCAACCTTAGCTATTCCAGTCATACTAACTTTAGACGTAGATTATCACCGGAATTATGACTCTTATTATAAAAGCAATTGATTAAGATGTTGAGTTAGCTGGGAATACATATTCTTTCTTGATTCTTGAATTAAATTTCTGATGACTGAAATTTCTGCTGTTTTTTATGAGTAGAAATGCTACCTTTCATCAAAAAATTTTTTAAAAAAATTGATTGCCTTAATGTTTTTATTTTATATAGTTTTCCTCAAAAAATTAAGAATTGATTGATTTAATGTTTTTATGAGTAGAAATGCTGCTTTTCATAAAAAAAATTTTAAAAAATGATTGCCTTAATGTTTTTTATTTTATATAGTTTTCCTCAAAAATTAAGAATTGATTGACTTAATGTTTTTATATTATATAGTTTTCAATACTTCTAACTTAGAATTGATGAGGAGTAAAATGAAAAATGTTTCTGCTCTTCATAAAAAAATTTGATTTACTCAATGTTTTTATATTATACTCCCTTCGTCTAAAAAAACCAACCTACATAAGGATGAGACACTACATAGTACAATGAATCTGAAGCTAGTGTCCCATCGTTTTCTAGGTTGATTTTTTTTTAGACGGATGGGGTATAGTTTTCCGTACTAGTATATTATATAGTTTTCCATACTAGTATCTTAGTTATATAGAAAGTGAAGAGGCAAAGTATGGTAGGAGTTTATAATAGATAGCGAGAATGTACATTACGTTAGCTTTTTATATCAAACACATATTTGTGTTTTAATATATATTTTTTCAATCATATTGAATATATTTGTGTTTTATTAGAGTGAGGGACAATACTTCCCTATTTCGATTATGGATAAAGATAGCCAAATATATAATCATTTGACTGCAATATGTGTGTGTGACTACTAGAATTTAGAAACTAGCACTTGCTTGTGAGCTAGCAACCTTAGATTAAAGTGTGAGTAATTTGTGTTGTTGTAGAAGCGGACACAACAACATGATATGATTGGCTTACATATGGACATCCAAATAATTTCGAATAAAGAAGTTTTGAGTATATATATACATCAGGTAATTAAATTATAGTTGGGACTAAATAGTTGAATTCCATCTAAAATACATATGTTAGCTCATGTACGGACTAGACCTATGACTAGCAAACTTTAGAACAACTAGGAGTATTTGTATTTGAGATGTCTATTTAACCTCCCAAACCTTTCACTTTGTTTAAAAATACACCTCCGAACTCCAAAATCATATACTCCCTATTTCTTTGTTAACAGTGAAATTTGGTAAGCCCGGAGTTGTCATCGGCTTAGAGTCAGCATCGGCTTCGAAGTCCTGGGATTAGCCGATGAGAGTTGTCAAGTCGTCAGTTATCGGATTCTTGCTATATTCGGTTAAGGAAATTGATCTACTAAAGGAAGCTTATCCAGAATAGACCGAGTTCAAAGAGAATGCGGCATGACAAGTTATCTATTAATTAGAATACTTTGTTAGTTTTTAGTTGTTGGATTTTTGCTATATTCGGTTAAGGAAATTGATCTACTAAAGGAAGCTTATCCAGAAGAGACCGAGTTCAAAGAGAATGTGGCATGACAAGTTATCTATTAATCAGGAATAGTTTGTTAGTTTCCTTTTATCTTTAGAAAAGTGTGTTTAGTGTCCTATAAGGACTTTATCTTTCCTTTTATCTTTAGGAAAGTTTCTTTCTTATCCGACAAGGACTTGTATCAACCCATGGGTATAAATATGTACACCCGGGGTCTATGTAATCTATCTTCACGATCAATACAATTCGGCGCATCGCCACCTTTTGCCTTTTCTACTTTATTTTATCGTCCGACGGGACTTGGCACCTGACGCGGGGCTGCATCGGTGTTCGATCTCCGGCTAAGGGGTAAGTCCAATGTTCTGCCAGCCCGGGCAATTGTATCGTTTACGTCGGCGTCGTTCAAGGCTGCATCAGTACATTCGACCTCTTGGATTGCTCTGGTTTGAATGATATATTTGCCTACCTATTTATCATATATCTCTGTTAATCTAGTCTTAGCATATCAATTTAGCTCTATCGGCTGCCTCTCGTTTTAGGGTTTCTGTCGGTATCGGCTAAATCGCATTGCTAGAATAGATTAGCTTAGACATCTACCATCCTGAAAACTCAGTCAACGGCTTGATTGTCTAGATATTATGTTTCTTTTCATACTTAGTGCTGCATCAGTTAAGTTTGATCTACTAAGTTGTGCTTAGAACCATAATCTCCAGCCTGCTTCTTGATTGCCAATAAGGGTTTCATCGGGGTTTCAGCCGGTGAGTTATCTGGACGTTGCATCGGCTCATAAGGATTGCATATACATATAAGTTGGATTTAGCCGATGACAACAAAGGTTTCACTGTTTAATCTAATCCTGTGGATTTCATGACATCGGATCTCCAGCCGATGTGTGCTTTAACTTTCGGATCGATGCTTATTTATCATATCATTATTTGCCAATTGGTTTATACTAGATTATATTGTTATTTTATTACATCATCATCAGCCGATTGCCTTTATATCATTATCTACATTGGACATATAGCCGATTGCTTAAACCCTATAGCTATCGGTATCGGCTATCGGCTGGAACTACTCCATCGGCTTGTCAGCCGATCGACTGTTTTGATCTACTATTTGCATATCTTGTCAGTTGCAGCATCAAACTGACTGGCACGCCCGCATCTCACCAATCTTTGGACCTGCACAGGAGCTAAGCAGATCTCCCAGGCCGGTGTGTTCGATTTTTTTGTCAACATTCTTAAAATATAATAACTTTTACCTATGAATCTGAACAAGTGCATGTTTCACCGGTGGAGAACCCATCTTTACATACGGTTCGCAACATCTTGTAGTTCCAGTTATGTAACCGAGACTACAAATCCGGGACTAAAGATGTCCATAGTCCCGGGTGGAATAACTGAGACTAAAGATCTTTAGTCCCGTTTGGTAACACCAACCGGGACTAAAGATGGTAGCGCCACGTGCTGACACTATCCTAAACACTTTTTTCTTTCTTTTTCTCCATTGTTTTTTACCGTTTGCATATTGATTTCGTACTGAACTCAGCAACAAAATCATCCACAATCACAAAAATATCACAATATCATCCATAAATTCGCATACATCTTAAATTTATATATCCAAATACATCACAAACCAACAAATTCGTATCACAGATCAACATCAAAAACATCACAAATCAAGAAATTCATCCACACAACAAATTTCTCAGCCGAGCCAGGCGCCGCTGTCGCTGCCGCCGTGCCACCGCGGAGGGGAGGGTGCCGCACGGGCCGTGCCGCCGCGTGGCCCGCGTCGCCGCGGAGGGGAGGAGAGGGCGCCGGGTGGGCCGCCGCGCCGCCGCAAAGGGGAGGGCGCCGCCCGTCGGCACCGCGGAGGGGAAGGCGCCGCCTGCCGGCGCCGTGGAGGGGAGGGCGCGCGCCGCAGACGATGGAGATGGGGAGGGGAGAAGAGGGAGGAGAGGGGGAGGAGGAGGAGATAAGGAGGATACAGGAGGGTGAAGAAGATAGAGAGATAGAATTGAAGAAGATAAGGATGAGGGAGAGAAAGAGATAAAGAATTTTCGGCTCTCTCCCCCGTGAATTTTTATCTCTGTACCTCCCACGCACGTTTTTTACTGCTCGCGCGCTTTTTTTAATATTTAGTCCTGGTTGGTATAAACAATCGGGACTAAAGATATTGGGGGGCCTGTCACGGCCTGACAATGAATGAACCAGGACTAAAGATCATATATTCCCGTTACACTTCAAACCGGGACTAAAACATGCTTTTTAGTGGTAACTCTAGAAAACCATCTAATTAGGAAAAGAATATAAAAAAACCCCAAAATGCTGTCTACTTAAAAATGTGGCTGAACTTTCATTTTTTTATCCCATGGAATGGATAAGTAAGTTGCTACTCTGGAAAAAAGAAGGTTACAATAGCAACAATCCTCCTCGAGAGCAGTCCTTAGGCCATCCACACAAGGGAAAAAACAGAGTGGAAAGATAGAGAGGACAACAAGGTAGACCGAACCGAGCGACCGAGGTAGGCGAGAGTTGGTAGAGGGCGGTGGGTAGTTTCCATGGCGGCTAGGTAGAGGATCATCATCTGACGGTACCGGCGGCCGGCAGCCGACAAGTGGGGGCCAGATCCTCGACGCGTAATTGATGAAGATTGCTGGCCTAGCGAGGAACCATAAAGGGCGATCAGGTGCAACAGAAGCCCGAGGTGTGGGTTGATGATGAAGTTGCAGGTGCTGACCATGGAGGTTGGAAAAGATTGGCCACGACTTTGAAGCAGAGGGGGACAATCAAGTAACCAAAGAGATAATAAAAATGGAAATGAATCCCAAGCGAAACCTAACTGTCATATGCTAGTAGGAATTCAGACAATATTATCATCTAACTGTAGATTGACCATGCTATGAGTCTAACTCTGAGCAGAATAATTGTACGCTTGAGATTTTTAACTGGATGTGCATGTTAATTTTGGTAAATAGTGAGTACTGTGTTTTACGTAAATTTAATACGTTATATTAATTTGAATGGAAGGGAAATTCTCTTTTATACATATTGTACACCTTCCTTTGTTTTACATACACTCCTTTTTTTTTGCTTCACTATATTTTAAGATTGATGTGGCTAGTTATATTTTTTTAGTGATTTGATTGTAACCCGTTTACTGAAAGTTTTAAAAAATTTTATTGCTAATGAAAAGCCCATCAGGATTATGTTCTCAAATAGTGATCCAACCATATGGAAGTGTGTATGTATAAAATTGTTAATAAAATTGATAATAAGAGCATCTGAGATGTTTTGATACTTTG